AGTAGTGGTAGTAGTAGAAGCGCCGCCACCCCTACAACCCCAACCAGCGTACCACTCACGAAGCTGCTGGGGCGTGAGAGACGCGCGTGGGCGTCGCTGGAGCTGCATCTGGCCGCTCGAGTAAGCGAACTCGAGTGTGCGGGAAGCGAACTCGAGTGTGCGGTAAGCAAACGCAGGTGTGCGGGGAACTAGGGGCGAGCGTGGGGCCGTTCGGGGCCTCTAGGGGCGGTGAGCGCAGGGCCGACGGGGCCGTTTGGGGCCTGTAGGGAGGTGAGCGCGGGGCCGTAAAGGGGCCTCTAGGGTCCGACGGGGCCGTTCGGGGCCTCTAGGGAGGTGAGCGCGGGGCCGTAAAGGGGCCTCTAGGGGCCGACGAGGCCATTCGAGGCCTCTAGGGAGGTGAGCGCGGGGCCGACGGGGCCGTAAGGGGCCTCTAGGGAGGTGAGCGCGGGGCTGTAAAGGGGCCTCTAGGGGCGGACGGGGCCGTTCGGGGCCTGAGTGTTTTGCGGTCTCAAAAGAAGGAGCGAGAAGCCCCCGAGTCAAGTGTGAAGGTGTGGGAGGCCGAAGCCAACGCAGTACTTGAGAGCGCAGACTCACCAGTACCGGAGGAAGCAGACGCACTAGCACCTAGAGCAGCAGCCTCGCTAGCACCAGGAGCAGTAGCCTCACCAGTACCTAGAGCAGCAGTCGCAATGCTCGGGTCGGGCGGGAAACACCGGTAACAGTCACCCTCCTCACTAATAGACACAGTATACATAGCAGCAAGAATAGCATCAAAGTCAAGGTCAAAGATAGCTACCCTTGCCCTAGACAGCTCGCCCTAGCGAGGGATCTTAGTGGCCTCAGGGAACTAGTGACGCCAAGTGTCCGTCAGGCGGCCAAAGCAGCGCTGGGTGGGGTGCGCACCCCCACACTGCTCACCCGCATAGTCGTCGGTGCGCAGGACGTAGGTGCACGGACCAGTACCCCCACCCCGCTGGCGTGCACCGTACCACTCACGGAGCTGCTGATGGGACAGGGTCTCCCGACTGCGCTGCTCCTGCTGGCGCTGACCACCACCGGAGCCACTCCTCTGCGAAGAGCCACGACCTCCTCCTCCTCCTCCTCCTCCGCCACCGCCTCCTCCACCTCCGCCACCTCCACCACCTCCGCTCCCACTGCCACCGCCGCCGCCGCCTCCGCCTCCACTGCCGTCGCCGACACCTCCACCCCCGCCACCACTCCCACCACCACCCCCACCCCCTCCACTGCCTCCACTGCCGCCTCCACCGCCCCCGCTAGCTCCTCCAGCGCCCTTGCCCCCCTTGCCCTTGCCAGAGCGACGCTTCCCACTAGGGGTAGACGCCGCACCGACCGACTCCAGACCAACGAGGTCGGCCGCAGCAGCAGAGGCAACAGAGGGCAAAAGAGGGGAGGGGGAACACCCCTCAAAGATGGGGGTGCGCGGGTCACTACGAGAGGCCCCTACAGCGACTATGCTCTTCTCCGCTGCTAGGAGGGCCTTCTCGAGGAGGTCAACAGTGAGAGTGGTGGGACAGACTGAGAGAAAGTGGTCCCTGACTACGCAAAGGGAGTCAGGGAGGCGGGTGACTATGTAGTAGAGAGTGATGTACATGGGGGGGGGGGTTCTTGGCGCAGAACTCAGCAGGATGTGCAGCGCGGTAGCGAGTGTCACTAGTGCGGAGGTGCGTAATGAGGTCAGCAACAGTGGGAAAGGCAGTAAGGTCAGGGAAGAGGTACGGTAGCATGAGGCGGCTCAGTGCAGCAGTGGCAGGGGAGGAATAGCGTGCAACTATAGCGTCGTACAAGGTCTGAGCACTCTTGTACTGGCTAAAGTGCGCACGCTCAGAGGTAGGAAGGTGGCGACGCGCAGCAGCATCGCGCGTGGCCCACTGTGAGCGAACATTGGCGTCAACATCAGCAGCAGGGGCAGGAGAGGCACCAGAGGTGAGGTCAAAGAGAGAGAGTCTGTCTGCCCTATCGCACTGTAAGAAAAGCTGCAGGTCATCTATCCAGACGTCAAAGTCAATGGCCCTACCCTCAGCGTCAAAGGCGAGGACACTAGGGGTAGCCATGATAGAAGTAGACTAGCAGCGCAAACAGTAGGGTAAGGGCTGTGCGGAGAAAGAGGCGCTGCCCTTACCGGACAGGGCGGCTCGAGCGACTCGGCGGTGCGGGCGGCTCGGCTGCTGGGCGGCACGGCTGCTGGGCGGCTCGACTGCTGGGCGGCTCGGCTGCTAGGCGGCTCGGCTGCTGGGCGGCTCGGCTGCTGGGCGGCTCGGGTGCTGGGCGGCTCGGGTGCTGGGCGGCTCGGCTGCAGGGCGGCTCGGCTGCTGGGCGGCTCGGCTTCTGGGCGGCTCGGCGGCTGGGGCAGCTTGGGTGGCGGGCGGCGCTGCAGCAGGCGACGGGGCCGCAGGTAAGGGCGGCGGGGCCGCAGGTAAGGGCGGCGGGGCCGCATGTAAGGTGGCGGGGCCGCAGGTAAGGTGGCGGGGCCGCAGCGAAGGGCGGCGGGGCCGCAAGTAAGGTGGTGGGGCCGCAGGTAAGGTGGCGGGGCCGTAGCGAAGGGCGGCGGGGCCGCAGGTAAGGTGGCGGGGCCGTAGGTAAGGTGGCGGGGCCACAGGTAAGGTGGCGGGGCCGCAGCGAAGGGCGGCGGGGCCGCAGGTAAGGTGGCGGGGCCGCAGGTAAGGTGGCGGGGCCGCAGGTAAGGGCGGCGGGGCCGCAGGTAAGGTGGCGGGGCCGCAGGTAAGGCGGCGGGGCCGCAGGTAAGGTGGCGGGGCCGCAGCAGCAGGCGACGGGGCCGCAGGTAAGGGCGGCGGGGCCGCAGGTAAGGGCGGCGGGGCCGCAGGTAAGGTGGTGGGGCCGCAGCAAGGTGGCGGGGCCGCAGCGAAGGGCGGCGGGGCCGCAGGTAAGGGCGGCGGGGCCGCTGGTAGGGTGGCGCGCCCGCAGGTAGGTGGCAGGGCCGCGGGTGAGGGCGGCGCGAGGGGCCGCGGAGGTCGGCGGCGTGCCGTTACGGGCGGCGCAAGGGCGGCGACGGGCCGCTGAGGGTGGCGACGGGCCGCTTAGGGCGGCGTCAGGCCGCGAAGGGCGGCGACGGGCCGAGTAAGGGCGGCGCGAGGGAGGCCGCTAGGGGCGACGCGACGGGGCCGAAGGAGGCCTAGGACAGGCGCGACGGTAGAGAGGGCACACGAGGCGCGACTCGGGCCTAAGCGAAGTGCGCTCAGGGCAGGAAAAAAAAAAAATCGACTTGGTGGGCCCTAGAAACAGTTCCCACGAGGGAACCTGCTCGATACCATGAGAAGAAACGAGAATGAATGCACTATGAAAGAGTTGGGTACAAGTACTAACCCTAATTGGGTTGTACCCCATATAGGCTACCCCACTACAGCCTACACAAAAGCATAAGCTATAATGTTATGACACGAAAGTCCTCTCACGTACTCGTCTCATCCCGCGCAAGCGTTGAGTATTATTCCTCACTCGTAAATTTCACCAGGGTGGGCGGGCGCGAACGTGGCACACTCGCTGTACAGGAAACCGACAAATAATCTCGACCAACAGTGCGCACTCAATTTCGGCCCAGTGCGTGACCAATGAGTGCTCGGTCAAACCAATTCGTAACCAATAAGTGCTCGAGCATATAAATCCGCGATCATGTAAGTAATTGCGCGGTTTCATTTATCCGAAATTTATGATCGGAACTTTATATGACCGTATATGATTGGACGCGCAGTGTCTAAATATGCCCTGCGCATAAAATGGACAAATCACGCAATGTATAAATATTATTGATCCGTTTTATGCACGGGGCATATTAGACATTGCAAAATTTCGAGTGGGGAATAGTACGTGTAGGCTGTAGTGGGGCAGTTCATATGGGGTACAACACTTTAGGGTTTACTACTTGTACTCCTCATTCTGCTCAATGCATCCATTCCTCGTTTCTTATCATGGTATCGAGCAGGTTCCCTAGTGGGAACGATTCCTAGGGCCCACCACGATATTTTTTCCTGCCCGGAGCGCGCTTCGCTCCTGCCCGAGTCGCGCTCTGTGTGCCCTCCCTACCGTCGCGCCCTCTCACGGCCCCTTCGCGTCGCCTTTAGCGGCCCCTCTCACGGCCCCTTACGCCGCCCTTACGGCCCCTCGCGCTGCCCTTTACGGCCCCTCGCGCCGCCCTCTACGGCCCCTCGCGCCGCCCTCTACGGCCCCTCGCGCCGCCCTTACGGCCCCTTACGGCCCCTCGGGACGCCCGTCGGCCCCCCTCGCGGCTCCCTTATGGCCCCTTACGGCCTCGCCGCCGCCTCGTCTAGGCTCCTTACGGCCCCGTCGCCGCCCCGTCTGGGCCCCTTACGGCCCCGTCTCCACCCCGTCTAGGCCCCTTGCGGCCCCCCTCTGCGGCCTCGTCTAGGCCCCATGCGGCCCCTCTACGGCCCCGTCTAGGCCCCTTGCGGCCCCTCTGCGGCCCCGTCTAGGCCCCTTGCGGCCCCTCTGCGGCCCTGTCTAGGCCCCTTGCGGCCCCTCTGTGGCCCCTCTGCGGCCCCGTCACCGCCACCTGTGGCCCCGCCGCCGCCGCCTGCGGCCCCGTTGCCGCCGCCTGCGGCCCCGTCGCCGTCACCTGCGGCCCCGTCGCCGTCATCTGGGGCCCCGTCGCCCTCCCCTAGCGGCCCCGTCATCGCTCAGCCGCCCAGCGACCGAGCCGCTGAGCAGCCCAGCAGCCGAGCCGCCCACCAGCCGTCGCCGCCGAGCCGCCCAGCAACCGAGCCGCCCAGCCGCCGAGCCGCCCAGAAGCCGAGACGCCCAGCAGACGAGCCACCCAGCAGCCGAGCCACCGAGCCACCGAGCAACCGAGCCACCGACCCGCCGACCCGCCTCGCAGCCGAGCCGCCCAGCAGCCGAGCCGCCGAGCCGCCGAACGCCCTACTGTCGAGTCGCTGCTGTTCCTGCTGGTGCGCCTGGCCCTCCTTCCTCGGACTGGTGAGATCATTCCCTACTAGGCCACTACAGTCATGGCTACCCCCAGTGTCCTTACCTTTGATGCTGAGGGCCGTGCCGTTGACTTTGAGGTATGGGTCGATGATCTCCAGCTGCTCCTACCGTGCGATAGGGCAGACGGACTCTCTCTGTTCGATCTCACCTCTGGTGTTTCTCCCGCCCCACCTGCTACTGCTGACAGCACTGTTCGCTCACAGTGTGCAACACGCGATGCTGATGCTCGCCTTGCTGTGCGTCGCCACTTACCGACCGCTGAGCGTGCGCACTTTAGCCAGTACAAGAGTGCTAAGACCTTGTACGACGCTGTAGTTGCACGCTACTCCTCCCCTGCCACTGCTGCTCTTAGCCGCCTCATGCTGCCGTACCTGTTCCCTGACCTTACTGCTTTTCCCACAGTCGCTGACCTTATCACTCACCTTCGCAGTAGTGACATTCGCTACCGCGCTGCGATTCCTGCTGAGTTCTGTGCCAAGAACCCCCCCCCCCATATACATCACCCTCTACTACATAGTCACTTGGCTCCCTGACTCCCTTCGCTTAGTCAGGGACCACTTCCTCTCAGTTTGCCCCACCACACTCACCATCGACCTCCTCGAGGAGCGCCTCCTAGCAGCAGAGAAGAGCATAGTCGCTGTAGGAGCCTCTCGTGGTGACCCTCGCACCCCCGTCTTTGAGGGGTGTTCCCCCTCCCCCCTCTTGCCCTCTGTTGCTTCTGCTGCTGCGGCCGACCTCGTTGGTTTCGAGTCGGTCGCCGCTGCGCCTGCCCCAAGCGGGAGACGCCGCACCGGCAAGGGCATGGGGGGCAAGGGCGCTGGAGGGGCTGCGGGGGTGGTGGAGGTGGTGGTGGGGGCAGTGGAGGGGGTGGGGGTGGTGGTGGTAGTGGTGGCGGGGGTGGAGGTGTCGGTGGCCGTAGTGGAGGCGAAGGCGGCGGCGGTAGCGGAGGGAGAGGAGGCGGTGGAGGCGGTGGAGGCGGTGGAGGCGGCGGAGGTGGCGGAGGCGGCGGAGGTGGCGGAGGCGGCGGCGGCAGTAGTGGAACTTACCCAGAGCTGCATGTCCCTCCAAGCACAAGCCCCATGCCCGACGTATTGCAGAAGTAGAGCAACACCCTCTTTGCTGCAGCCATGTGCTCCGGTCTGTGTCTCCCAGGAGCAACATAGCGTGCGAGAATGCTAAGAGGGTTTGCAAGGTCTGGTCGTGTGCAGGTCATCAGGTACATGAGGCAGCCAACAAGCTCTGGGTATGGGCCACTCGACACTACTGACTCATACAAAGGCAAAGCTGAGAGCGAGTGGCGAGTAGGCAGAGGAGTGGCCTGAGGCGAGGAGTACGTGAAGCCGAAGCGCTGAAGGACCTGCTGCACCATGTGTGACTGAGTCAAGGTAATGGTGCGGCGTGCTCTGTCCCGAGTGATCTGCAAGCCAAGGTAGCTGCGCAGTTCACCCAGGTCTGTGCACGTGTGTCTCTTCTGCAGCTCGGACTTCACGTGGGCGAGTCCAGCAGTATCAGCTATGGCAAAGACCAAGTCGTCGACGTATTCGAGGATGTAGAACGGCGGCAAAGAAGTGTCGTTGCGCAGAAACAGCGACGGGTCGGCAGTAGAGGGAACAAACCCAAGAGCCCAAGTGTAGTCCTCAGTGTGTCGTGCCACTCACGCGGTGCCTGGCGGAGACCGTAGACTGGCCGACGAAGGCTCCACTGGGTGCCAGGAGGAAAAGACCCAGTGAAACTAGGTGGGCGACGCAGCCAGATCTCCTCGTGCAGGCTGCCCTGCAAGAAAGCAGTGCTGAAGTCAAGAGAGTGTAGCTCGTAGTCTCGGTGAGCAGCTATGTGCAGCAGTACCCGAAGAGTGGTCATCTTCGGGGTGGGAGAGAAGGTCTGAAAGTAGTCAACTCCTTACCGCTGACTGAAGCCACGAGCCACGTAACGCGCCTTGAAGACAGGCGGAGAACCCGGCGGTCGCTTCACCCTGAAAATCCACATGCCACTGACAATGTTCGCCCCAGGAGGGGGAACAGCGTAAACGTAGGTGCCTATGGACTTCCAGGAAGCCATCTTTGCGTCCATAGCTGCCTGCCACTCAGAGGAGTAGGGACCCTCTATCGCCTCCGCGTAAGAGCGCGGAGTCGGGATGTCAAGTGCATCCGGGTCTCCCTCAGGGGTAAGCAGTACGACACGAGATGAGGTGAAGCAGCGGCCAAGCACTAAAACTCCTCCGGCCTGTCCTCGAGGACGTCCGTGCCAAGGGCACACTCACCCCCGACGGACGGAGGACAGTCACACTCAGACTCAGCAACAAGACTGGTGGCGTAGTCTAAGCGACAGCGAACAGCAAAGTCGACGAGCTCAGCAACTAGGGCCGACGCAGCAGTGGACTCAAAGGAAGGGTTAGTGACAACAGTAGCAAGGAGACGCGAGACAGTAGGACTGGCAGCACGAAGAGAGTCTGACTCTGGGTCGGCAAGAGCAGGAAGAGAAGACTCAGGAGGAGAAGGCAAAGGGGCACGCAGAGGAGCAGTGGACGGACGCAGAGACATCTGGTGCGTGCCAGGGACAGGAGGAGGACGCGGACGCGAACCGCGACCACTAGTGCGAGCAGCACGGACAGGCGACGCAGAGCGAGACGCAGGCTCACGACGCTCAGCAAGACCTCCAGTAGCACCAGTGTAGGGAGAAGGAGCAGGCAGTGGGGAGGGCGGCTGTAACTGTAACTGCGACGGGACAGGCTGTAGACAATCTAAGGAAGGAGGAGGACCAGTAGAAGACGGGAGACCAAGAACCTGCTGAAGGAGCGGAACGAAGTACGGCCGAGGCGGTGCGGCGATTTTAGACACAGCAGGGACAGCACCAGCACCCCCAGTGGCAGCACCAGCACCTGTAGCAGCTCCAGCTCCAGTACCCCCAGCAGCACCAGTAGTACCCCCAGCAGGACCGCCTCCAGGACCGATAGCAGTAGCCTCCGCACCAACACCCGCAGCAGCTCCAGCTCCAGAAGTACCCGCAGGTCCAGCAGCTCTAGTACTCCCAGTACGAGCACCTCCGGGACCCGTGGACCCAGCTCCCTCAGCAGCAACAGAACCTCCAGTACCCGCAGCACCTCCAGCTCCAGCAGCTCGCCTCCAGCGCCGGGCAAACCACTCACGCAGCTCCTGTGGAGAGAGTGGCTCTCGGCGAGAAGAAGCATCCGGAGAACTGCCAGGCACAGCACCAGCAGGCCCAGCTCCCTCAGGCTCCGCACCCCCAGGCTCAGCACCTCCAGGCGTAGCACCCCCAGGCTCAACACCCCCGAGCTCAGCACCCCCAGGCGTAGCACCCCCACGCTCAGCACCCCCAGACTCGGCACCCCCAGGCTCAGCACCCCCAGTCGTAGAACCCTCAAGCTCAGCAACCCCAGGCTTAGCACCCACACGCTCAGCACCCCCAGAGTCAGCACCCCCAGGCTCAGCTCCCTCAGCAGCACCAGAGTCACCAGCGACCTCGACAGGCTCAACAGCGTCTACCTGGGACACACCTGAAGGGGCAGGACCCTGAGGGGGGAGGGGGTCTACCGAGGGGGGACCTGGCACAAGGAAGAGCGGTGGTGGGGGGAGGGACGGAGTGCGGTAGGGGAAGAGACGGTAGTAGGGGACCGACTCGTCGAACGTGACGTCCTGGGAGGACAGAACACGGTGAGAGGTGGGGTGGTAGAACTGCCACCCTGGCGCGTCAGGGGGGAAACCCAGGAAGACGCAAGGAGCAGCACGAGGGGACAGCTTGTCCGCAGACAAGTCGCGAACAAACGCCCGAGATCCCCAGACACGGAACACAGACGCATCGCCAACCTTCCCCGTCCATAGCAAAGCTGGGGAGGTCTCCGGCATGGAGACCCTGGGCTGAAGGTTTTTCTTATGCGCCGCGTACCGATCCGTAAACGGCCACAGAAAATGGGGGGCAGCTGCATGCATCATGGACGTACGAGCGACGTCCATGACCATGCCAATGCGGCGCTAAGCAATCCCATTTTGCTGTGGAGAGTCCGGAAGCGTGAAGGTCTGGCGGATGCCTCGTGCACGACAGTAGGCTCGCAGAAGGCCAGAGGAGAACTCTCCGCCTCTATCAGAGTGCAGACGCAGAACAGGAAAGTCTGAGCCGAAGCTCCGCCGGAGCGGGAGACGAGCTGCACGAATCCAGTCGATCAGCACCTCAGTGACATCACCCTTACTGCGCAAGGGGAAGACTTTGGTGTAACACGAGTAGTCGTTAACCACCAGCAGGAAGTAGTGCTCGTGACCCTGTCCACGGACGCGGGCTGGGCCCCACACGTCCATGTGAAGCGTCTGCAGCGGGGCCTCCGCGGAGGAAACTGCGAGGAGTGAGGGGTAGCCCGCTGCCGCCCCTCGACACAGGGGACGCAGGTAGGGCCAGGCCCCGGAGGAAGGGGAGGGAGGGACCGGGGAAGACCAGAGACAAGGACACGGGAGGCCATGCTTCGGAGACGAAGCAGGGAGGGATGACCAAGGCGGTGGTGCCAAAGGAGAGTCTCGTGAGACAGGAGGCGACACGAGCAGGGGGCAGACTCAGGACCAGACCTGGACGCTGCAGCTAACACCTGACCCGACGCAGCTACCTGACCAGACGCAGGGACTGGAGGAGACGCAGTGGTCAGTGTGTACAGGCTCGACCCCGGCCGATGTGTAAACGTGGCTAGGTGTCGGCCTGTCCGAGCGTCCGTGCAGTGGGTCACCCGCTGACTCGCAGGAGTGAACTGGTGAACCCCCGCATCCTGTAGGTCAGCACCACCCACCAAGTTCGTAGAGAACAAGGGGAGGTAAAGACTAGACAGGGTGCCAGAGGGGGCCGCCGGACACGGGAGGACAGTGAAGAAGTGAGCAAGGACAGGACCCCCAGAGGGGTCTACCAAGGAGACTGCAACTGGTCGACCAAGCGGCGTGAGTGTGGTGCGGTCTCGAAAGAAGGAGCGAGAAGCCCCCGAGTCAAGTGTGAAGGTGTGGGAGGCCGAAGCCGACGCAGTACCTGAGAGCGCAGACTCACCAGTACCGGAGGAAGCAGACGCACTAGCACCTAGAGCAGCAGCCTCGCTAGCACCAAGAGCAGCAGCCTCACCAGCACCTATAGCAGCAGTCTCAATGCCCGGGTCGGGCGGGAAACACCGATAACAGTCACCCTCCTCACTAATAGACACAGTATACATAGCAGCAAGAATAGCATCAAAGTCAAGGTCAAAGATAGCTACCCTTGCCCTAGACAGCTCGCCCCAGCGAGGGATCTCAGTGGCCTCAGGGAACTGGTGACGCCAAGCGTCCGTCAAGGGGCCAAAGCAGTGCTGGGTGGGGTGCGCACCCCCACTCTGCTCACCCGCACGGTGGCCGGTGCGCAGGACGTAGGTGCACGAACCAGTACCCCCACCCCGCTGGCGTGCAGCGTACCACTCACGGAGCTGTTGAGGGGACAGGGTCTCCCGACTGCGCTGCTGCTGCTGGCGCTGACCACCACCGGAGCCACTCCACTGCGAAGAGCCATGACCTCCTCTTCCTCCTCCTCCTCCGCCACCGCCTCCTCCACCTCTGCCACCTCCACCACCTCCGCTCCCACCGCCACCGCCGCTGCCGCCTCCACCTCCACTGCCGCCGCCAACACCTCCACCCCCGCCACCACTCCCACCACCACCCCCACCCCCTCCACTGCCTCCACCGCCGCCTCCACCGCCTCCGCTAGCTCCTCCAGCGCCACTGCCCCCCTTGCCCTTGCTAGAGTGACGCTTCCCACTAGGGGTCGACGTCGCACCGACCGACTCCAGACCAACGAGGTCGGCCGCAGCAGCAGAGGCAACAGAGGGCAAAAGAGGGGAGGGGGAACACCCCTCAAAGATGGGGGTGCGAGGGTCACCACGAGAGGCTCCTACAGCTACTATGCTCTTTTGTGTTGCTAGGAGGGCCTTCTGGAGGAGGTCAACGGTGAGAGTGGTGGGGCAAACTGAGAGGAAGTGGTCCCTGACTACGCGAAGGGAGTCAGGGAGACGGGTGACTATGTAGTAGAGGGTGATGTACATGGGGGGGGGGGTTCTTGGCGCAGAACTCAGCAGGAAGCGCAGCGCGGTAGC